TATTTTAGCTTTAAAATACCATATTAGACAGGTACATATCTCTAATAGAAAAATGTAGAGTTAAAAACGTATAAAAGTATAAAAATATCACTTTTGAAATTATTTATTTTGTGGACCATTTTTGGGATCCCAAAGTACATTCCCACAAAGTTTAAGCAAAATTTAACATCGGCTAGCTTTTCCGATTCGATGATTTCATATAGTTTTAAAAAATAAGCAAAATTTAAATGCAGATTGTAATTTACAATAAAGTTTATATTTTTTGTAATTACTACTTATGTGCAATATTAAAATTAAAATAATCTAATAAAACATTTTAAATAGTGTTTTATTTGTTACCATATTTGAAGGGACAAGTGGATAAAGGGCTTAAGTAACATTTTTAATAATAAAGGAGAAAAAATATTGTAATTTCAATACCAGTTATTTTTATTTACAATCTGTTCTTTTCTAATTTAAATGTAACATGACAACCTTAAAACAAAAAATATTGTAATTGTAAATAAAAATTAATTTGGTATTGCAATTACAATATTTTTTCTCCTTTATTATTAAAATTGTCACTTAACCCCTTTATCCACTTGCCCCTTCATTTAAAGCAAAAGACGTCAAATGATAAAATCTAACTGCACAATTTTGTTTACCTACAAAAATAAACCAAAACACTGTTTCATAAGCACGTCAATTGAAAAAAACAACATTGAAAGGTTTGTTTTATCCCCTTCCCATATATTATTTGGTCTTTTTATGTTACAGAATCTGAATGATTAACACTTCTAGAACTGGTTTACAAGGTAATACTACAATGCTTTTTTAAAACAGGTTACCGCTTAGTTCATGCATTACAATATTTGCATCTATTAAATATAATTTTTATACCTAAGTGTATTTTGAGATTAATTTTTCTGATATAATGACTCAAGAATATTTATGCTACAAAATCAGAATATAGACATAGCTCTAAACAAAATTAACATAATAATAAAATATACTTACACAAAATAAATTAAAATTAACTGTGATATCACGACTATTTAAAAATAACATTTGCATGTCAAAGTTGATAATGACTTTTTCAATTCAAGCAGAAGCAAAGCAACTGGTTTAATTTTTGATTATTACACTGGTTTACAGCAAAAAAATAGAAACTTTCTCTTACATTTTTTTAAGGTAATTCGGGTGAGCTTAACACGAAAAGCATATTCTTTTTTTTTTCATTTGGGCCATTCACCTAGGTAACGGTATATTTGTGTTTTTCTATTTATGATTTTACTTGAATCAGCATCTCGAGTAAACGGCAGGCCCGATCGAGATAATTAATAAATTGTTAAAAAGGTGATATCAATGCGGGTCCAACGGTACCCAATTTTTTTTCGATCGGATGAAAAATGGCTGAGTTGCAGTTGATAAAAGTTTAAATTTCATACAATTTTTGACGATTTTTAGCCATTTTTGTCAATTGAGTAATTTTTTACAACAACAAATAACTCCAATATTTTAAGTTTAACATTTTTAATCAAAAGTTTATTTAATTACAAAAAAATTAAGCCCTAACAGATTAAGAACGCATAAAAAATAAAAATATTATGATAAAAATAAGGAAAAACTAGTTTTTAAATTAACTGCAAATATTTTTAGTTTTTTCTTATTTTTATCATATTTTTAATCCGATCTTGGTCTTCTAGGGCTTGAAATTTTTATAATTATATATACAATTGATTAAAAATAAAACTTGGGATATTGGAATTATTTGTTGTGGGAAAAAATTACTCAAATGACGAAAATTGCTGTAAATCGTCAAAAATTGCATGAAGTTTGAAATTTTATAAGCTGTAACTCAGCCATTTTTCATCTGATCAAAACGAATTTGGTACCTTTGTACGCGTAATTTAGTCACCTTTATAATAATATCTCGACTTATCTGAATTGGGCTTGCCGTTCAATCTGGGCTGCTGCGCGCTGGTTTAAGTAAAGTAATTCATCGAAAAACAAAAATACACCGTTACCTAGGTGAATGGCCCAAATGAAAAAAAAATGAAGAAGAAAGTTTCTATCTTTAAAAAATTTAAATTTGTAAACCAGTGTTATAATTATTGAAAAATAATTAGGATATTTGAAATATCATATTTCAAAAAAATTATATACTTACTTCTATAATTTTAATTCACTAAATGTAACCTTAAAATTAAAAGTAAATAATATCATTTGCAGTGGAATATACAAGGAATTACGAAAATAAGTTAGGGGCCGTCCATAAATGATGTCACACACTTAGGGGGGAGAGGGGGGTCGTCGAAAATGTGACAGTTTGTGACAGTTTGGGAGGTTGTGATGTCACAAAATTATAAAAATATTTTGGAATTTAATAATTAATAATGGTTATAAACTGGATATTAAGATTTTATTTTAGGCAAAAATTTGTGGGGTAGACCTTACATAAAAATTAAATCAGTGTGACGTGACGCCAATGGGGAGGGGGGGTCTCATAATTTGTGACACTTTGTTACAAGTGGGGTAGGAGGGGGTCAAAAATATTAAAAAAACGTGTGACATCATTTATGGACGGCCCCTTACATAAAAATTAAATCAGTGTGACGTGACGCCAATGGGGAGGGGGTTCCATAATTGGTGACACTTTGTGACAAGTGGGGGAGGGGGGGGGTCAATCCCCAGCCATAGCTTAGGGACGGTCACATATTACGTCACGCTCTACATAACGTAAGTCAAAAATCGTAATATGTGAACGACCCCTAACAATAAATAAAGAGAGAAAAATTTATTTAATTTTTGTAAGTGCTAAGAAATATGTCTAAAATTGTTACATGTAAACACAAATAACTAGAAACAGATCTTAAAAATCCAAAAGACTAGGTGTACTAAGATATTTACTAGTAATGAGTCCTTTAACAATTTACAAAACATATATTTAACACGTGCAAAAAACCGCAACCCAGATGCCAAGGCGCTACCTTAAACCAGGCTTAAAGAAAATTGCATAGGGTTTTATTTAAGATGGTTTAAAAAAGGTATCTAAATATTGATAAAATTTCAGCTCTAAAAAAAGGGTTTATTAACTTAAAAAATACAGTTAAAAAACTTCATAAAATATAAACTTTTGAAAATACATAGTTACAAAGATTTCATAAGAATAGGTAAAATAAATTACTCGAATCTGGTCTTGTTTTTTTTGCACACAATATAATTAATTATATTTAAATTACATTTATAAAAAAGTATTTTTAATTTTAAAAATTGCAGAAAATCTTACTCTGTTTTTATTAAACAATAGTTAGCACAAAAAATTGTCTACAAACTGACGCACAATTCCTTAAAATTAAAAATAGATCTTAATCAAAGTAAGCACATTCTTTACAGTCTGGATTTAATTCTAGAAATGCTAAAATTTATTACACAGCCTTATTCAATACTCTTAATCTTAAAAATATGTTTTTCATGAAAATTTGTAAAGTATTATGCAATATTTAAATTTTACATTCAAGGGTCAGTATTCCTGATATCAGCACGAAATAATTTTTACCAAAATTAAATTGCATACGGCCAAATCGATGGCCTTTTATGACACAAAAAAAATGTTGCAAAATTTATTAACAATTTAAATTATAGTCCACTTTTTCAAAAAAGTTCTACAACTTTTGAATGCTTCAACCGATTTTGGGTTGAAATAAAAGATAAATAATAAACAATATTAAATATTGTATGATGCGCGTGTTAAAAGTGTTTTTATTTTGTTAAACACACTTTTTAAATTTTGTAGAATACATACATATTAATTGTATTGTTCATTTTAGTGTCTGGTTTTATAGTGTTTGTAGATACAATTTTTATCTAGAAACACCATTAAACCAATAAACAATAAAATTAATATGTATGTATTTTACTAAATTAAAAACGAACGCTTTTACAAGGTATTGACAGCGATTTTTTCGGAACTAACAACAATACACATTGGTTTACATGTAAACAACAACAATAATATTGTAATAAAATGGCAAAAACGCTCAAAACTATACTTTTAATAGTGTTTGAAGAAAAACAATTTAAAATACATTTAGGAGTTTAAGAACACTTTAAATAATGCCGGACTATTAATACATATACATATTATATATTATTATATATATAATACATATAATGTCATGAATCTATAATTTTAAAATCTTATTAGACAAAATGATAATAATACTAATAATCTAATGTAATTTAATAATGAGTCCTAAATATATACATATATATATATACATATATATATATATATAGTGTGGCCCATTTGAGGTGGAAACATCCCCGTAACTTTTTTATTTGTTACTCGATTTTAATGAACAAAGGATCAAAAGATAGAGAATAAAAAACTTTATCTAAGCAATAAAAATATTTTCAATGTCACTTGACAGGTGCCTACTATGTCAAAATTCGGAAAAAATTATTAGGTGTTTCCATCTTAAATGGGCCATAACTTATCACTAATGGTATGTTTAAATTTCAAAGTAGTTAATTCATTTTTAAGTTAATTCAAATAACCATTAAAGTTTTAATGAGAGGATGGCTGTTGTAAAATGTAATATTATAAAAATACTTACGAAAATTCGTAATTATTTTTCACAAACGTTTTCCACGTGTATTGCGATTCAATAAACAATTTACAAGCACCGAAAATTGAACAATACAGCTTAGCGCGACTGCATTATCTTTTTTTCGACGGAATTATGCTTATAAGAGGACAATGTCCTCTCTATTTTTTATCATAATTAAAAATTGATTTTTTATAAACAATTATGAAGTTAAAAAATATTTTTTTTTAGTTTCTTTTAATAATTTAAAATTCTTATTATCTTCCATCTTTCAAAATTCTTGAACTTTTTCGAAGTGGCATCCAAATTAAATTGGTTATAAAATTATATTCTCACGTAAAAACATAAACAAATTATTAAAAAATAACTAAAGCAAAAATGATAATCATATTTACAATTGGTATTTTTTCAATTTCAATAAGGTACTCTAAAATCTAAAAAATTATATTGTTAAATATTTTTCCTCAAGATTTCTAGTTTTAATTAATAAATATGATTACTTTGATACAAAGAGACACATATTTATTTAGCGCATACCAGATTTGGAGTGTGCAATCAACCACTGTAGGGTAATATCTATATTATCCTTTTCCTTACAAGAAATTGAATAACAGCATATTTCCCGATCCTGAATTGCTGATAAGTTCCTAAAAAAAAACATATCTTAATTTAAGAGGATAGGGACATTATTTTTTTTTTGTAATCTGTAACACGTTTGTCTGGCAAAAATGTAAAAAAATGCGTATAAAACATTTTCCTAGTTAAATTACCCTACTGCAAAAATAAGAATAATGGGTGTTTTTACTTTGGGTACACTATATAAAATTGCAAATAAATAATAAATTTGCTATACAGGGTGTTAGTGAATAAATGGTAAACAAATTAAGGGGGTGATAGGCCACGCCGATTTAAGCATTTTTTGTCTTGGGGATATGTATCCAAAAACCCCCCACTACTGAGCTACAGGCGTTAAAAACTGCGCACAATTTAAAAGGTTAGACACCTAACCTCAATTCTGCTGTCAGTGACGGATACCTAACCTTAATTAAACTGAAAGTGATATATAGAATAATAAGATTCATTAACACGCCCGTAAAGTGTCTTTTCCGCACTCGGCTAAAAAGCAGTCGAGTGCGGAAAATTAGCACTTTCTGCACTAGTTAGGTAAATAACTAGTGCGGAAGTTTTAAAATCATACCTACCCCGGATTTTTTTATTGATAATTATGCTTTTAAGAACAAAGGGTTTATAAAAACCATGTATTTCCCATTGAAAATTGTATGTGCTTTACACATTTTTTTTCTCGTAAAGAAAAATTAAAAGGAATTCTTTACCCTTTAGGGCGCCAATTTTGGGATAAACTGTATATCATAGTGCTGTTCTGAGAGGATTTCGGACTTTATATATGTTACCGCTAATAATCAAAGATTTCAGATAATACGCATAATAACTAGATATTTCGTAATAATCAGAATTCGTGAAACGGATCACCAACAATTGGTGGGTCTTGTTTTTATTATAATTATTATATTTATAAATTAGTTTACAATCGAATTTTTTTGATTTGCCAACCTTCAATATTTGTTATTGTTTATTTACAACAATTTTTGTAAACATTGTTCTGGAGCATCTAAAAATATAAAATAAATCACAATTTGTAACCTCAACTTGAGGGCTATGGCGAACGGCAGCTTAGCAGCGGAGAGATAGGTCGATGGGCAAATGTTGTTTCTCAATATTTACGTGTTTTTACTAAAATAAATCCAAAATTGGGCGCCAGTGTCTTAAGACACTGGCGCCCAATAATAATAATAATTATTATGGCCAGTTGTTAAAATCCAAGTCAGACACAATCTTACTAAAGACTAAGGGTGGTTATTAAAAGTCAAGTTTAAAAAAAAATCAGTTATATTTGTTTCACCGATGTTGAAATGATCACTTTTTATGTAATAATAAATATTTGTTTGATCTGTAATTTTGGTGCACCCTTATATGGCCATATATGGTTTACAAAAACCAAAGTCTGATGAGATGAGATGAGATGAGAGACTAAATTAACTGACAAAATATTATCGATGATACAAAAAAATATACTTAAAATAACTATGTTGAACTCTCAACTCAAAAGTACACAAACTATAAGGAGTGTAGTGCACGTCAACATTAATATTCAAAATTGGTACGACCTGATCGTAGTTGGGGCCCTGGTAGACAGGGCCGGATTTACGAATTTGCCGCCCATGGGCCCAAAGCATTTCGCCGCCCCGCCCCCTCCCAAACGCGACAATTTGCCAGAATAATAGTATTTGAACAACAATATCTTAAAAATAAATATAAATAACATCATGTTATAGCTTTATATAACCTCACTAACTATGATCTAGGAATAATGCCAATTAGTACTTTGTTATGTGGAATATTTGTAGAGAATCTATGATTTCCTTTGACACCTCAAGATATCGTTAACTTAACATAATACAATTATTATTTTCGTAATTAAGGAAAAAATATGGATTAAAGGAAAAGTTACATGTTTCGCCAATTTTTGCCGACTAGAGTAAAAAACCCGGTCGTCCTCCATATTGTTTACCAACCATTCAGGAATGAATATTTATTTACTCAATTTAAAACCACTTAGCCTGTAAACTTAACTAAAAAAAATCTATGTTGTTTTTTTTCAAAGTGGATTGTAACATCAGGAAATTAAGAAATCAGAAACGATTCAATGATAAAATTGTTTATTGAGAGCTAAAACATTTTATTCATAGTGAACCTTTTCAAAAAGTTTAAACTCGAGTTTTCAGAATTTTTTACGCCTAGCTTTAATATTAGCGAATCTATCAATGACATCATTAAAGTCAAGCTTACACGTCAAGTCTTTTTCTATGTCTAAAACAGCTAAGTTAACTAACCTTTTCTGGCCAACAGTTGATCTTAAATAATTCTTTACTCGTGAAAGAGTAGAAAATGAACGTTCTGCTGCACAGTTGCTGGCTGGTGTACACAAAAACATCTTAAGAGTTACACTTACATTTGGATCTGTTCAATTGTGACAGCGACATTTATTCTGTTCTGGATGCCTTTTGGTTGCACAACAGACCTTCCAAATGAAGACATTCAACAACAAAAGAAGGAGCTTCAATGTCCGTTGAGTATAATTCATGAAAAGACGTTGCAGCAGATGTAATTTCAGTGGCACTTATGTGGCAGAGGTTTGACAAGAATGAGAATCTGTTTAGAAATTCATTGTAAATAGCCATTCTCTTGTTTAACTCTGACAGAAGTTTGTCAATTATTAGTGTATAGCTTTCTTTGAGTTTGTCATCCAGGTTTTCTTCAGCGGTCTCTTTTTCTTCTTTAGAATCAGAAGAATCACTTTCGTCAAAAAATTTCTTTTTTCTCCGCAATCTCGTCGGCCGATCTACGACACACTCTGCCTGAAGTTCACCATCATCTTGTACCGACCTTAGTTTCTTCTTCCCTTCAGACTTAAAGAAATTAAAGGTTTCTCTTAACTCACTGACAAAAGCGATAAGCGAGCTGTACAGAGTTACAACTGTGTTCACATTCATTTTTGGGGATTGAACTTTTTCACTTACAGCGTTAAACTCGTGTAAAACATGTCCCCAAAAGGCAGCCATAAATGTAGTTTCTTTTGTCAAGAGCTGGTTCAAAAGTCCTTTGGCTTTACTTTTGGTAATCCCACTCTCTTCTTCGCTGTCAAGGATGCTTTTCAATGCCTTTGTAATAGGTTCAAAATCTCGGTGTAGGCTTTTGCAGGCTTCTTCTCTCGCCGACCATCTAGTAATACTCAGTGACTTAAGAGACAGGTTCTTATCATGTGGTTTAAAATATGACTCAAGTACATTCCACCTGTGAGTAGAGGAAGAAAAAAAGTTGTAAAGCGATTGTAATAAATCAAAAAACTGCGTAGATAAAAGACAGCACTCTGCTGCACTAGATCCAACCAAGTTCAAAGAATGGGCTGAACAAGGCACATAAAACATCAAAGGGTTGACTTCTTTCAGTCTCGCTTGTAGGCCTAAATACATTCCCGACATATTTGAGGCGTTGTCATAAGACTAGCCAGGGCAGTTCTGAATATCTAGACCGCACACATTTAAAAAGTTAAGCACTGATTCAGCTAACTGCGCACCTGTATGGCCTTGATTTTTCAGGAAACCGACAAAGCGTTCTTCTGGAAGTCCATTTTCATTTACATACCTTAAAATGAATAATAACTGGTCGCTATGGGTAGCATCGGGAGTGGAATCAACTATGATTGAAAAATATTTTGATTTTTTCAGTTCATTGAAGATTGTGTCAAGAACACTTTTACCCATCAATTCAATTAATTCTTCACACACTGTTGAGGAAAGGTACGATGACCTTGACACGGGTTTCCGTATTTATCAATGTGTGATTTTAAAAACGGATCAAACTCGGCTATCAGTTCCAGGCACATCATAAAATTTCCATTATTTGGCGATCCAAATACTTCGTCATCTCCCCTAAAAGCAAGACCTCTTGATGCCAGTTGTTTTATAACACAAACAACCCTATGCAGAACTGCTCTCCAATAGTTGATCTCTTCCTCAACTTGAGAAATAAGTTGCTTATTAATCGTCCCGATTTCAGCAGCTCTCTGTTTGAACGTTAATAAGCTGTCGAGATGAGCAGTTGAATTTTCATGTTCTTTTATACGCTGTGAACCATGTTTCCAGTCACTGAACCCTTCATCTATGAACTGACTAGAAGTTTTGCAAAATAATTTGCACAGACCACAAAACACTGACCCCTGACTAGGAGAATACACTAAATAGTCCCTGTTAACTATATCTCCATTAGCGAGTTGTCTTTTAAACATTTATTTTGACAGGAACCTGTTTTTTTCGGGGTACACCCTTTTAGATTTTTCAAATCACAGTCTTTATTTTGCATGAAGCCATGTTTTACAAAGTATTCTCTAGTGACTAGAGTCTAGTCCAATCGTTTACTTTCCAATACCCTGGGTCATTACTAGGTTTGGAATTATCAGTTTCACCAGGATTGGAAGCTTCAGATTCCAAAACTTCCTTTTGTTCATTATTTACGTCATCTTCTTTGGTGTCCACTACATCATACACTCTCTCGTCGAGTCTTGAAGCATTGACGTCGGCAGCAATATTTAAGGAAGTAGAAGGTTCTCCGACCTGAATATTGGGCTTGAAAAAAGCATCAAGTTTCACAGTTTTGTTTATCAGATCAGCTATTTTATGTTTTTTTTTTCATCTGCTCTCCTTCTGTATTCAGCACCGCTTAACCTCTTTCGACCATCCATTTTTTTAAAGAAATAATAAGAAAATGAAACTTTCCACTAGGCCTACTAAATTTAAATTAAAACCTCGGTAGGGAATTAAATCTAACTAAACAATGTTATAAAGTTTTTTGCACTCCTGCACTACCAGGAAGCCGCCTGCTTAGGCGGAATTCGGGTTCCTCGAAGTGGTATTTATTAATTTTAAGAATTCTTCGAAATAACAATTTTTTGGACTTGTTTAATAACGTACAACGTATTTTATTACTTTTATCTATGGTAAACTAAATTTTATTATAAAAAAGCGCTTTAAATAAATATGAAATAATATTACATTTTTACATTAAAATATAAAATTTTTGGAGTTATTGGAATACTTCCGGGTGCGTCCCGGTTTTCATTTAATTACTATTTCACAGAGAAAGGATTTAACTAAATATTAGTAATAAACTAATCTAATGAGATATTTTACAAAATATTCTATAGGGTGGATATAAATAACGTCACCAGAATAGTATTATATATATATCATCACCAGAATAGTATTATATATACAGGGTGTCCCAGAACTCGCGCCACAGAGAAAAAGGGGGCGTGCCGATAGCAATGGAGATGCCAAATTTAAAAATAAAAAATTTCTAGGTAATAGTGTAATCGAATGAGAGCAAAAAAGCGGCAGCCAATACCGAGAGCTCTCGCCTAGGTTAAACGTAAAAGTTTTAAAATTGCTAGGAGAAGATAGAACATTGTTGTATTAAAAACATTTAAAAATCTTTTGGCCAACTGTATTTACTAAGTTATCAAAAGCTTTCAAAAATGAGGTTATTAATCTATGACTTATACTTCAGAACGCCAATGTTTTAAAATAACGATTAGGAAAGGGTTGGGAAAAAACTTGCGTTGTCTCCCTGGCGTTGCGCTCACACTAAATAAATAAATAATTATCATTTCAGTATAATCATCTAAGGAAAACATTATTTATAATAACTTAATTTATAACCTAATATAATATTAATGACAGGAGTTTGACAGCAGTGTCACAATGAATTGGATTCCAGTGGACCAAATATTTTACATATTTTTTATTCAACAATGCAACCTAAGTATCCTAGCAATTTAAGGAATTCCCTATGGCCATCTATTGGGATTGGCTATCGTTTTTTATTCTTATCTCGCTCATCCTTTGCGTTAGACAATTTTAATTTTCAAATATGTGTTTCACGTTACTTTCGGCACGTTCCGGTTTTCTATGTGGCGCGAGTTCTGGGACACCCTGTATATAAAAAAAATGTTATTATAATAACATTTTTTTCTAAATATAGAAATTTTATAATAAAAGTTATTATTTAAATTACAAAATTAATGTCCTAAATGGCATAAGATGCTATAATACATGTTGTTATACGATTTTAAACTGTTATAACTTGAAACATAATTTTGGCCAACTTTTTAACTCGAAAAATAATTTTAGACAACTTTTTAGTACTGTAACATATACCCCTATGTGCGCCGTGACGCACAGTGCGTAACGCACTACGCAGAATAATAGTGTAGTCTGATATAAAATTATCTAATGTATTAAAAAACTTCTCTTCGAACTTTTTTTAGTTTTAATTAGTGTATAAAAATTCTGCATAAAACGCTCTTGATTTTTTAGCAAAGTTTTAACTGGCCTTCAAAATTTTCCGCCCCTAAAAACTTGCCGCCCTAGGCCCGGGCCCATGCCTAAATCTGGCCATGCTGGTAGATTGTGTCTCCGAATGGGTTGGCTTCTGATGTTGAAGTCTCCTACTATGTCAGATTATACAGGATGGCTTTTCAATAACGTAAGAACTTGCCATTATCCAAAACAAGTTCAGGGTAAAAAACCATTCCTTTACAACAAATCTGAAATAAAAAGTCTTACAAAAAACTCCAACATAAAAACCCCTTGTTTAAAGGAGTTTTTACAACTATACA